AAAAAAAAAAAAAAAAAAAAAAAAAAAATTATTGTAAGAACAACACAATTCAATGTATGTAAATCGATATATAAAAAAAGTTGTACGATAATTAAAGTAGCGTATATTCACATCATTCTGCCAATCTCATGCAAAAATAACAATAATAATAATAAAAATTGTAGAACAAATACAATGAAATCGCATACGAGTTTCGAATTTCTGTGTGAAAATTTCAAATCGAATACAAAAGGTTTAATCTTTGTATAAAATACAATCTAATATGTTTTTGTTTTTACAAAAATTTACTTTTCGTTATCAAAATTGCAGATCGAGCACAAAAAAAATCAACCTGGGTATCAAAAGTCGAGTTAAAATGAGAAGTTTTTTTTTTAAAAAAAAAATAAAATTATTATTTTTTATGAAAAGTGAAGACCGCACACGAAACATTGCATTTTGTTGAAAACTGATAAACGATCTAACAAAATCGTACAAACATATGAAATCAAAATAATTATTATTCGTAAAAAAATAGGAATACATAATACAAATATAAACTATAAATATATTAACTAATTACATAATTTCAGTTTGCTAATTCAAAATCGGAAATGATACTTGAACTAGAAAGCATAACTAAGTAAGAAAATCGAATTTCATGTCTTAAATTCAACAAGAATCGAAAATTTCGAAGATGAAACATGAGGAGAGGCAAGAGTGAAGCGGCGCAAATGGCAAGCCTAAACCTAATGCCGACAAAATGCTATTATAGGGCCGATTTCACACGTGCATTTCGGTTGATTGTTGTCAACCGTTCGATCTTTTTTTTTATAACTGAATTGTATTTGGGCGCTCTAATAGTGGGTCGTTTGCAATAAAAAAAAAAAAAAATTACACCATGTACAACATATATCACTTTCTATTGCAAAATTATCACATGTATAACATTAATTACAAAATTACTAGATATATAAAAAATAATTAATTTAAGCATGCAATTAACTGATGTCATGATCGTTTCATTATTATATAATTTTAATTTAAAAACAAAATTGTCATTTAAAAATACAGAAATAATAAAGTCCGTGCATCGCACGGGGACTGTACTAGTTTAAAGGAAAAGACCATGAACATATTTTTTGGTTACATTTCTTTTTACCTTAACTTCCATATAATTACAATCCTAACAAATTAATTAGTATAATATTTTTTTACCCACATTTATATAATCCGATATTTTAAAATATAATTAATATAATATTTTAACTATTTAATTATTTGTATAATTTGATTTAACTCATTAACAAACTTGCAATTTTTTTGGAAATTAAAAAAATTTGGATGATTTTTATTTGTAAAATAAAAAAAGATATTTACTCTAAAGTCTGGATTCTTTCCAATATTTTTTGTACGTTAACAATCATATATTAGATAATTTATTTAAAAAACTCAAAATCGTAAAGTTTAATAATATTCGTTAAATAAAAAATATTGTATAAACAGAAGTGTTTAATAATATATATTTTTCATTGTTTGTATTTATTTTATTCTCATAATAAACGAGATGTAAAAAATATAAATAATTATATTTAAAATAAAGTCTAAAAAATATTTAAAATATGAACTCCTCGTGCATAGTACAAAGATTACACTATTGAAAACATAAAGGAAAGAGGAAGCCGTAAAAGAAAAAATAACCAAAA